GCGCCCGCGGGGAGGGGGCGGAGCAAGCAGCGGGGTGCGTCGGGAGGAGCCGAGGAGGTCCCCACCTCCGATTCACAAGATGTAGCGGTGGCAGGACGCTTAAAAGGAGCGCCGTCGCCAGTGACGGGGGGAGGAGACCTAGGTACAGAGAGCCCAAGAGGGCTGGCCGGCACGGAGGCACGGACCCCGAGGAGCGGAGAGTGGCGGAGCCGGAGGGAGACAACCGCAGGGAGGCCTGGCGGAGGCATCACGAGCCGTCCCTAAGGAGGCCCCCGGATAAGGCCGTCACAGTGACTTGGCGGGGGAGGTAGGAAACGACCCAGGGCAGGGTATTGAACCCAGAGGGTTGGTGTGTTGCGGGGTGGAGCTTTCCCCCCACCAACCGGAACTGGGGTGCCGAGTCTCAGTCCTTAGGGCCCTGGGTCGGAGTGAGGGTGAGCCCGAGCCCTCCTACCTCTCCTCGCCAGCCCAGCACCACACAGGAGTGGGCAACTTTAAATGGACCAACCCTCCTGGACTCGGGGCAGGGGGGATTGATAGGGAGCATGGTAGATGGGGTTTTTGGGCACAGGATGGGTAAGCCCGAGCCCCGCTACCTCTCCTCGCCAGGCCGGCACCACACAGGGGTGGGCAACTTTCAACGGACCAACCCTGCTGGACTCAGGGCGGGGGGGGGATTGATAGGGAGCACAGTAGGTGGGGTTTTTGGGCACAGGACGGGTAGCGGGGCGGGGCCTGCGCGCCCCTGGGGGGGCATTGGCCTCGTGCCCCTCAGCACGGAGCCAATAGTCAAATACTGCACAGTGCTATGTACCTGAGATTCTGGAGACAGGCCTTCTGGGTTCTATTCCCAGCTCTCTTAAGGACAGCGGTGAAAGTAATTTACACTGGGCCAAATTTTGGAAAATCCCCCTCTTTTGGAAGATCCCTTCTTCCTCATGGAAAGAGGAAGACAGGGCTTCCAAAAGAGCACGTTTGCACTTCCGCAAAAAAAAAAGCGGAAGAGCAACTGCGTTCCCTGGAAGCAGCAGAGTATCTCGGAAAACCCCTGCAGTGCAGACATACCCTGAGAGCAGAAAATATGGAGAAAGGGACTAAGCGCACGCTGCTTACCGGTGAGCAACGACGCTGCCACTTGATGGGACCCTGAAATGAGAAAAACACCAGTTTTATCAGTGTCCTAACATTAAATTGAAACAGACTTCAGAGGAGTACGTCCTTCTCTGGGGCCCTTTCTCAAGGCCATCAGAGAACTTGACAAGCAACCATTAACGGAGTTTCACAACCCCCGAAGAGCTAGAACCAGTTATGTTATACAGGGGTGAAAGTAGGGGACATGCCCTGGTGCACAGCTCCAGCAAGCGTTGGCTGAGCTGCCGCAAAAGCTGTCAGGGAGCTATTGAAAGAGCAGGGCCCCAGGTTGCAATAGAACAAGACCTGTAAAAAATTTAAGTTCCTTTCATCCCTAGTTATACCTGAGTTCACCACAATCCATAGGGGTTAAGCGGTTCAATGACAGAACCAGGAAGGGTATGTCTACGCTACAGCACTAGTTCGAACTAAGCTAATTCGAACTAAGCTAATTCGAACTAGTGCATCTAGACCTAAAAACTAGTTCGAATTAGCATTTTGCTAATTTGAACTAGCATGTCCACATTGAGTGGACCCTGAACCGAGGTTAAGGATGGCTGGAAGCAGTGCCGGCAGGGCATCAGATGAGGACTTAGAGCGTGGAGCTGCTGTCTCAGGCTAGGCGAGGGCTGTGCTTAAAGGGACCCGACCCCCACCCCGGACAGACAGTTCTCAGGGGTG